AGCGGCGTGTGCGCTAAGTGCCCACCTGCAGTTGCTGCTGCTGTCCAACAGTCAGCGCTATGTCACTATACTAGTAACGATTTGGCATGTTCTGTTTACGTGACAACCCTTACTAATTGGTTGTGTCGGTGGTGGAAGGTTTAACAACACATTTATATATTTACGTGATCTAAACCAAAAAACCTGTATTAATACTCTTTGGGTCTATTGGTAAAGTCACGTATGCAGACAAATAATAGATCGCGACATTTCGATCGCAACACAGGCAATCGTCTTCAGGTGAGAGAGAGAAAGCTAATGAAACAAGGTCTTATATAGGCCTGAGATGGAAGTCCCCTCAGGGTAAGAGGGTGGGGCTAGAGGTGGTCTCCCTGAGGCTGTGGAAGTGGCCATTGTATTGTGAGAGATTAGCATGTGAATGATGCATCGGTGGCAGATCGAGTAGGATATCCAGCCTGTCAATACAAAGACATCCAACCGAGTAATGCAACTCAGAGCGTCAGCTAAAATTGGCAGGAAGGATGTAAACATCACAGCAGGTTAAAACTTTATCTGGTTAATCACGTCCTTCCAATGATTGCTCAATTTGTACCCATCTTCTCGGTTGAAGTTGTGTCTGTGTTTATATATCTGGATGGCTTCATGGACAAATCGTTCATGATAGCCAGTGGGTTTGCATAGTACCTTCGTCTTGGAAAAATACATTTCATGTGAGCCTACAGCGTTAAAACAATGATAAGCCACGGCGCAGGTATTGGTCCCACCGTGTTTCAGATCTGCGTTGTGTTCACGAACACGGTCGTGAGACATGTCGTTTAGTTTCTCAAATTTAACTACTGCCACATCCACAGCTTAGTTTGTAGACACCAGGGTATTGCATGTCAGAGATCACATCCTCCACAGATGGGATCAGATCACGAATTTTATGTACTGTGTTGAATCGAACCTGGATCTTGTGTTTGTTCATGATTTTGGAAATATTTTTTGTAACCCCTGCTATGTATGGCAAGGTGATGGTTTTGATTGGGTCCTCAGATGGTTCTCTCCCCAAGGTTGGGGTGACAGCTTTGCGGATTGTGCGGTCCGAATATCCATTAATCTTGAGGGCTTTGTGTACATGCTCCAGTTCACTGGCTAGGTGGTACTGGTTGGAGATGCAACAGGCCCTATGGTGTAGGGTTTTTATGAGGGAATTCTTCTGGGCTGGATGGTGGTGGGAGTCAGGTTTTAGATAGACATCCGTGTGGGTAGCTTTTCTGTAGACAGAGTGTCCCAATGAGCCATCTGGTCTCTTTTCGATTAAAACATCTAAGAATGTTAACTTGCCTTCCTTTTCCACTTCCATGGTGAATTTGATGGCTGGGTGTATGAAATTGATGTGGGTGAAGAATTGGTTCACTGCTAGCGGGCCATGTGGCCAGATGACGAACGTGTCATCTATGTATCTCTTACACAAGGAAGGACGTACAGTAGGGTGGATGCCTGGATGGCATCTGTCTCAAACTTTTCCATGAAAACATTGGTTACCACTGGCGATAAGGGAGAACCCATCGGGGTACCTTCATCTTGTTTGTAGAATGTACCATTCCAGGTGAAGTAAGTGTTGGTGAGGCAGTGTCTCAGCAGGGCCAGAACATCAGCATTCAGTCATTGTTGGACCAAATCTTCAATAATTGCAATGGTGTTAGGAACAGGAACTTTGGTGAACAGAGAGACCACATCGAAACTAACAAGCAAATCACCTGGAGATAGTGAGATGTCTTTTATTAGAGAAACCAAGTAAGCGGTATTAAGTACAGCTGAGGTGGTCTTGCCAGTGAATGGAAGCAAGGCCTCAGACAGAAATCGGGCCAGTTCGTAGGTGGGTGAGTCAATGGTGGAGACGATAGGACGGAGTGGTGTACCTTCTTTATGGATTTTTGGTAAGCCACAAAATCTGGGTGGTCTAGCAGCAGAGGGGTTTAGAGCCAGCCGCTTGGTTGGTTTGATTAAAGATGTCAAAGCAGTGATTATATTGTTGGTTTTCGTGACTAGGCGGTTGGTAGGATCTCTATTGATTTTGGTATAGATGCTATCATTAAGTAGGTCCTGAATTTTGTTATTGTATGTGGTTTTATCCATGATGACAGTGGCATTGTCCTTGTCGGCTGAGAGGATGACTATGTCATCTCTCTTTTTCAGTTTAGCAAGCTCAAAACGCTCATCCTTGTTGATGTTGATAATGGGTTTCTTAGCGTTTTTGAGGATTGCAGCGATTTCCGATCTCGCCACATCTGCAGAAATGTGTCCCAAACCCTTGAGAGCTACGTCGACCTGGGCAATGATATCATCAACTGGGATGTGTTTGGGGGTGACTGCGAAATTCAACCCTTTAGCTAGTACCGATTTTAGGCTGTCGGAAATTAGGCTGTAACTCTGATTGATAACACTCTTGTGAACATCTAACTTTTTTAACGTGTGGATCAGGCTTCTTCTTAGACAGGAGGCTGAATTTGGAAATCAGGTGAACTTTGCATTTGGCTGACATTGAGGTGGCTGACGAGGCTGTCATGTTATCTACATGGTCCCAATCAGATGTAGACATTTTTGACATGCTAATCTCTCACAATACAATGGCCATCTCTTGCCCCGCCCTTATACCCTGTGGGGACTCCCATCTCAGGCCTATTTAAGACCTTGTTCAGTCGCTTTCTTTCTCTCACCTGAAGACGATTACCGGTGTTGCGATCGAGATGCCGTGATCTATTATTTTTCTATGTACTTCATTTTACCGAAAGACCCAAAGAGTATGAATTCCTGCAGTCACGAAAGCTTTAAATCAAGATTGAACCTGTATTAAGGTTTAAACTGTTTATTCCAGGAGCATGAATGCCGCTATAATAACACAATTTAAGCATCCTTACCATCAAGTCTCCAGAATGTGAAGAAGCCACATTATGCTCTTTGATAATCATCCGCATTGTTGATAATTTGCAGATGATAATGGGGTTTTTTTCTCTTCTTTATTTACTTTGTAGCCATAGTATACATATCAAAAAGGGCGCAGGTATAGTATTTGTACTAACATTGGCCAGTCGATGCAACAATCCATCTCATTCCTGCACACAAGCAGATTTAATCACTCAATTTTTTGGGTGCATTCCCTCCCTTGGATTCCACTCTGTCATGAGTCTCCACCACCGGCCTTCATCTCTTATTTGTCCTGCTCAAGCCCACGTTTCTTACGGTGTCTTTAACATGCAAATTTTCTGCTCTCAGTTTCTATCCAATACTGAGATGTGTTTCTCAGTTGAATCTCTCTGACGGATATCTTCATTTAATTGACTAACTTGTGCATGGTCTCTTAAGTTACTCATATTTGTATTGACCCCCACTCTGCAGGCTTCTTAATCAAGTTCTTCTATTCATTAGCGAATGTGATTGCGAATGCTTTACCCACTTAAAGCAGTGTCATGATATCCATAAGCACTTCACTGACTGTGGTGCCAGCCAGCCTCCCACTGCCCTCCTACTCTCCACACCCCTACTCACTTCTTGCCAAGGGTGAGGGTTTTATGGTGGTGGTGGAGGTGTCACCACTCAACAATACCCTGTGCCCCACTGTTGACTGGTACAGAAATTCGAGCTGTCCACAAGCTGCTGTGCAGAACGGCTCACAGGGTGATTCTTTACACTACTCTGTCAACACATGCATCACAAGGCCCGCTGCGTTAGTTATTCTCAAAATATGTTTAACATTTAAACGTATTGGCGGTACATCGGTGCGCGGTATATATTTTTTTAAAAAAATCACAATAGTTTGTATTTATTTTAGTTATTTTCCCGCGATTCGCAACCCTAGTCAACAAAATTTTGCGGTGTGGTGCAAAAAATCAGCTCTCATAATGTCGAAATAGTCAGAAGACAACTGTCATGAGCATCTGAAGACAAAGCTTCAGTCTGTTGCTGTATAGCACCCAGCCTGATGACGATTGGCCCTAGCCAGATTTGACTCATGCCCTAAGCTTGGTCGGACGGTTAGGGTTAGTCAGTTTAACATGTAGGCTTTCGCGACCAATATCCATAAGAGGTTTTTTTTGGGTTAGATCGTGTAAATATAAATGTCGTTAAATCTGCCACCACCCAACACAGCCAATTAGTGAGGTTAGTAATGATGCTCGTTGTAATTACTGGCGAAACATCGTACTCGAATTGTAAATGTTGTGGGTTTACTCCTCAACACACCGGTGTGCTGAACTAGTAAGTAATTGGCATGTTTTGTTTACGTGGCAACATTACTAATTGGCTGTGTCGGGTGGTGGTAGGGTTAACGACACATTTATATTTACGTGATCTAACCCCAAAAATAAACCTCTAATAATAATCGTTCGGGTTAAGTTCGGGTGAGAGAAATACGAGCACTGACCTTTCATGAACAATTCTGCCTCATGTTGGAAAACGTTGTCCTTAAATAGAATTTGGTTGTTCACGAGTTTTGTAGTTTGACCTCATTTATTGTTGACATTACAATAACCCTAAACCAACCCTAACGATCACAGCGCTCTACTTGCTATCCTATCCATCGGTGGTGCAAGATGACAACGAAGATGATGATGCTGCAGTCCTACCTCAGGCTTGTAAGCCAACGCACGAAAGCCGCTGCTGCTGTTGTTATTGCTCCAGTCGCTCGCCCTCCTTGTCGGCCCAAAAAATCGCATAACCTGGACCCAAATCAACGGTCATTGTTGACCTTTTTTTTGCAAGTTTTAGTAGACTGAATAATCTTCGAATCGTGTGAAACTTGGCGACACAGTCAATTAACGACTGAGAAGTAGATTTTCTGATACTTTTTTTTACATTTCAGACTGTTTTATGAGGACTAGTGTGTTATGCTGCACCGGTGTACCGCCAATACGTCGATTTGTAATTTTTTAAAAGTGTACCACATAAAGTGTATTTTGTTTATGATATTTGCTGTGTTGGACATGCAGTAAGCAGAATGAAAATCGGCAAATGTAATGTTTTATTTAACAGTTGTTTATTTTGAAGAAATAAAAAGTTACAGTATATTGCGTACATTTAAACGTCATTCCACAAGCTCTGTACGTAGGGTCGTAGTCCAGGGTATGTAGGCACTTTTAACCAGTTTATTATTTATGTTCCGTATGCCCGCTTTCTTGAATACGATTTATGGTATTTACCCATGAAAAATTACGACTGCATATACACTACTCCCACCCAGTGCCTGCCCAACACATCACTCTGTCTGATAGAGAGTACACTCGTTTTTTTATGGCTACAGCTGTCTGATCATTAAAATTAATTAGGGGACGTGTCCTGTGCATGGTTATTTGAGTAGTGTCAAAGTGTGCGTGTGCCCTCTCTTCTGCTGTCGTTGCCTGGCCACAAGCCTCCTTGCCCCGCAAGCCTCCCTATGGGAATGACATAATTGGTGTTACACGGCACTAAAGTGCACTGTACCAAGCAAAAAAAGCTCACATGGTTCTCACTCGCTCTCTATTCGTGGCCCAAACACCTGGAATTCCTCTTTGGTTCTTTCGGTAAAGTCACGTAGAAAGAAAATAAATTAGATAAGAGCATACGACGTTTCGATTGCAATACAAGCAATCATCATCAGGTACAAATGAAAGAGAAAACAAACCTAGTAAATTTAGAAATATAATGCAATACAACACAGAGAGTCGGCTAACATAACAGTCAACACCCTACCTGGTTGATTACGTTCTTCCAAAGATTGCTAAATTGAGAAAGACAAAACACAGACACGGAGACACATAGACAGACACATAAGCAGAGAGATAACACAGAGACACAGAGAAACAACGCCTCTGTGTCGACGCCTTAAATAGAGAGAGGGAAGCAGAGAGAGAGGAGGAGGTAGAGAAATTAGCATGTCACGAAGAGATTTGGAGCTTTCGTGACTGCAGGAAATACTACAACACGAGGACACACACAGAGAAAACACACTTAATCAAACAAACTTAGCAAAATTTTGCGTTAGCTCTCTCTGCTTATGTGTCTGTCTATGTGTCTCCGTGTCTGTGTTTTGTCTCTCTCAAATGTAGCAATCTTTGGAAGAACGTAATCAACCAGGTAGGGTGGTGACTGTTATGTTAGCCGACTCTCTGTGTTATATTGCATTATATTTCTAAGTTTACTAGGTTTGTTTTCTCTTTCATTTGTACCTGATTATGATTGCTTGTATTGCAATCGAAACGTCGTATGCTCTTATCTCATTTATTTTCTTTCTACGTGACTCTACCGAAAGAACCAAAGAGGAATTCCTGCAGTCACGAAAGCTCCGAATCAAGTTTGAACCACCTCTAAGGGAAGGTTTTAAGTTTGTTTTCTTTCTCTCTGTGTCTCTGTGTTTTGTCTCTCTCTCAACTTTAGTTCTACCTGATGACGACTGCTTGTGTTGCAATCGAAACGTCGTATTCCATTACTTAATTTACTTTCTTTCTACGTGACTTTACCGAAAGAACCAAAGAGTAATTCCTGCAGTCACGAAAGCTTCAAACACTCTTTGGTTCTTTCGGTAAAGTCACGTAGTTAGAAATAAAATAAAACAAATCACGACGTTTTGATCGCAACACAAGCGGTCGTCATCAGGCAAAGGAGTCAGCCTCTAAAGGCAAACTTTATAAAGGTTTGGGGATGGGCGTAGCCCAAGTGAATCAACAGCACCAGGAGCATGGGCAGTGCACGAGTGCCAATGCAACAACAATGCCAATGCAGTAACAATGCCAATGCAGCAACAATGCCAATGCAGCAACAATGCCAATGCAGTGGGCGAGAGAGCTGCCGTGGCAAGAGGTTATATAGGTAAGAAAGGGGGGGGAGGAGCAAGGGGGGAGAGAGAGGGGGGGGGGTGTGGGCTAGGGGGATGGGGGGTCGGCGCTGCGTGAGCGCTAAGGGGAGAGAGGACGTGAAGCTGGGGGGGGGGGGGGAAGTGGGCGGGGCTGGAAGTGGGAGGCTGGGAAGGCTGGGGATGCGAAGGGAAATTAACTCGGAAAAATAGACAAGTACCCGGCAGATATGATGAAACAACCATAAACAGTTAAGGTTTTACCTGGTTAATAACATCCTTCCAATAATTGCTCCATTTTTATAGATCTTCTCGGTTGAAGTTATGTTTATGTATCTAGATGGCTTCATGAACAAACCTTTGAAAGTAGCCCGAAGGTTTGCAGCGTACCTTGGTCTCGGAAAAAAACAATATCATGCGAGCCCACAGCGTTATAACAATGTTCAGCCACGGCAGAGGTTTTGGTTCTGCCGTGTTTCAGATCTGCCTTGTGTTCGCGGACACGGTCCGAGACATGTCGTTTCGTTTCCCCAATGTAACTGCTACCGCAAACTCAGTTTCTAGACTCCAGGGTATTGCATGTCAGGAATGACATCCTTCACAGATGGGATTAGATCACGGATTTTGTGTACTGTATTGAATCGGACCTGGATCTTGTGTTTGTTTAAGATTTTGGAAATATTTTTGGTAACACCTGCTATGTATGGTAACGTGATGGTTTTGATCGGCTTCTTAGGGGGTTGTTTCTCCATGGTTGGAGAAACAGCTTTGCAATATTTTTTTTTGCTCCAGGTGCTGTTGATACACTTGGGCTACGCCCATCCCCAAATCTTTATAAACAGTTTGCCTTTAGAGGCTGACTCCTTTGCCTGATGACGACCGCTTGTGTTGCGATCGAAACGTTGTGATTTATTTTATTTTATTTCTAACTACGTGACTTTATCGAAAGAACCAAAGAGTATGGATTCCTGCAGTCACGAAAGCTTCAAATCAAGACTTCAAATCACAGTTGTTTTTGTTGTGATTTCTATATTGCCCATTGCTGAACTTAATTTAATTTTTTTCGCTTTTGTTATTTTGGAGATATGGGTCACTTTTGCAAATAAGACTCTGCCGGTCTCTTGGAGTTCTCACCTGGCAATACAAAATACACCTGAAATCCCTTGGTACTCTTTGGATTCGTCTAAAACTCATTTACAATGTCTATTCTCCACATGTAAAACGACCCAATGGCAACACATAACAATTGAGAATGTCTAAACTGCAGGGAGATTTGTCGTCATCATCAGTCTGAAAATTCCCCACTGTCGCAAAAAAAAGATTGCTGTACCCCAACCGTCGCAGTGGCAGATTCATGTATGTGTATACTATGGCGGGTCCCTGCTTGTGGTCGTAAGAATTGAGATGTCCTATTTCCATACGTAAAAACCGTTACACAGACTTCTGTAAAGGTCTTTTCATGCAGCAACGTGCAAATTAAACCAAGGCACAGCACACTACATCACGAACATAACAAAGTTTCAATGACACAATTCCGAGCTGCCCATGAAAAGACACTTCGTAAAAAACAATATAAGGCTTTGAATGCGTCAGCGAGGTTGAGCAAGTTGGAGTAGTTAAATACGTAAATATTTTTTTCACCTTTGTACAAATAGCAGCAGATGTGTCCAAAATGAATTTGAGCTACAGCATATATGCTTTCATTTTCTGCCATGGTGTTAATGGTCAGCACACTGGACATGCACAACAGAGGTCGCCTCGTTTGATTCAATCTCCCGGTGTGGCAATCAAAACAGTGGGGCAAGTTTCTTAAAATTCCCCCAATCCTGTCCACCCAGCAATATAAATGTGTAATGCCGCAGTTGACCGGCAGGTCGCGTCCGTAGTGGGGAAAACTATGGGTACTCCAATGTCTTTCAAAACATCTGGCCAGCCTGGAAGGATCGTTCAATTACCCTCCTGTTCGCTGTCGCGAAGGCCCTTCTGCTAGAAGTGGCTTCAGCAAGAAACCACAGGGCTGCGCCTTTGGCTTTTACCTCCCTCTTATGCTATTATTTAATTCTACATGAAGTTAAACTATGCTGTGGAAAATATTACTGGGACAACACAATTGCCCAGATACATACCACGTGCATTCTAACGAAAAACTGCAATGCTTTGTGGTTGTATAAAACATCCTATGGCATGACATTTGTTGCCATGTTTGAAACATCAATGTTTAAAACATGCCATAAAATGTCGCGCACATGAGCCTGGTAATAATAAAGCATGACCCAGCGAATATGTAAAGTACATACAGTTCTTCTGAAGTTCAAACAGTACAACGCCACGTATCCGACTCACTGGGGACTAGGGCTGAACGATTAATCGATTTCAAATCGAAATCGCAATTTGAAACAATTAGATTAGCAAATCGCAAAGGCTGCGATTTTTTGCCATTTGAAAAGTCCTATTATTGGAATTGTTTTAATTTGTATTATTATAACTTTATTTACTTAACTTAACAATTGTTCTATGTTTGATTATTCTATTTCAATTAAATATCTTAATAAATACATGTTGGAAGCAATTAATATCTATTAATTTCTCATCCTTGCATTATAATATCTAGAGCAGTTCATATTTTGATGGTAACATGTGGTAATGCTCCATCACATGTTTTAAATCTAGTACACAGTGAATATTGAACTGAAGCTTGACTTTAAAAAGATTAATCGCAAATCAAATCGCAATATCTGTCAGAAAAATCGCAATTAGATATTTTCCCCAAATCGTTCAGCCCTACCGGAGACTGAGGCACAGGCGGCTATGAGAAAAGGTCGGATGTGAGAATATTTCTTAAAATATAGTTGAACGATGCCGGATGCAGCACGGAATGTGGCGATTAATTGATCAATTGATAGTCGGATATGCGACACGCTACTGTAGTTTTAATGAAAACATTTGTTTTCATCTGATATCAAACAAACAAAATTGTCATGCATTCAATGTTTACAAGCATTCACTTTGGCTGATGCCTTCGCCGCCGCTTCTGCTGCGACAATGGGAACGTGGATCGTGGCGGCTCTTGGAGTCATTTCTTCAGCATCACCTTGAAGGTGACCCAGTAAAGGATATTGAAGACCAAGAAGGAGAGTGGGAAGAAGAGACGAGAAAATGTATCTATTTGCTGAGCACGGGCAATGAACTTTTTACGCGTACTGGCCTCTATTTCCTGGAGGGATGGCGGGTGGAGAGAGCACAGGCAGACGAGCATCTATTCAAAACATTGTTCGTGGGAATAAGCCATTTTATATTCGAATGTGTTAAATCCATTGTGAGTCTACCATTGCAATAGCATGTCGACAATGCAGTATACATGTAAAAGGTCTTCAACGGCAAAACTTAACAGGAACCCCTGCATGATTGCACGCCGAGATGACACGATGTAAGGTTGTGGCGTTTATTGTGCACAAGCTTGTGGTGGCCACCAGCTCGAAAGAGCTGAGATTGTGGCATTTAAAAACAATCTAGGCAGCAGAAGAACAGCATGTCGACTGCAATGTTTAGTAATTTCGTAAGCCTGAAAAAACATGTGAAGCACATCCAGTCAGGCCAACAACACAGTTAGACACTTCCTGGCGGACCACGAATTTCAGAAGAGTGTTAAATTTCGTGTTCAATCTTTGGATTGCACATACCAGCATAGATAGAATGAAAAATACGATAGAATGAAAAATGTTGAATTCTCGTCTCTCATCTTTTTGTTGTATTTACCTCCGTGATTTGTTCTTGACACCTGATGAAGATCGCTTGCGTTGTGATCGAAACGTCGTGATTGTTTTTTTAAAATATAATTTTATTGTATTTCTACATACGTGACTTTACAAAAAAAAACAATGAGTAATTTTATGCAGTCACGAAAGCTTTAATACTTTATTATCACACTTCTACGGGGAAGTTACCGTTGTAATTATGTGTAAGATGTGCCCTTTTTTGAGCTGTCGTTTTGTATTTACAAGAGGTGGTCATTTTTTGAGCTGCCGTTTTGTATTTACAAGAGGTGGTCCTTTTTTGAGCTGCCGTTTTGTATGTGTAAGATGTGGGTGTTTGAGCTGCCGCTCTCGCTCTGGCCCCTCCCCCCTCCAACCATATTTCCTATTTAAGCTTTTGTTCATCCCTCCGCCCCCCCCCCCCCCCTCTCTCTCTGCCTCCCTGTCCGTCTTTCCTCCCTCCTTACCTCTTGGTGGACTTGTATATGTATTTCTACTGACCGTGCACCTCATATTTTTCATTCTATCTATGCTGGTATGTGCAATCCAAAGGTTGAACACGAAATTTAACTCTCTTCTGAAATTCGTGGTCCGCCAGGAAGTGTCTAACTGTGTTGTTGGCCTGACTAGATGTGCTTCACATGTTTTTTCAGGTTTGTTGAATTCTCGTCTCTCATCTTTTTGTTTTATTTACCTCCGTGATTTGTTCTTGACACCTGATGAAGATCGCTTGCTTTGTGATCGAAACGTCGTGATTGTTTTTTTTAAATATAATTTTATTGTATTTCTACATACGTGACTTTACCGAAAAAACCAATGAGTAGATTGCTAACTTCTCAAACTTTAGAAGCATCTGCAGATATTGCGCACACGCGATAGGCCAATATCATCCACGAAATGTGCTATTTACACGCAATTCCCATAACGTATCTCGAGCGAATAACGAGGGAATCCTGCATAGTATGTTTTTAATGACATGTGTAAGTACCATGGGTGGTCAATTTGGATCCCAGCGAGTAGGTGGCTGGTGTGGCTCTTGAGTTGTAACCTTGTACTGTATTCACCCCAGCCACAGGACTCATGCTGCGTGATATACATAGTTATGTTTTACAGGTAAGGGACCTAAATTTGTTTCAGATTATCCCAGATAGGTGAGATAATTAAAACATATTTGCATTGGTAACATGTATTCTGTACTGGTTGCAACTATTGCATTTAATATGTTGCTGTATGTCATTACTGAGTTAACCTATGCTGGAAACTTCTGTAACCATGCCCAAAGTACCGAGATAACACTTTTTTATAATGCTATTCAGAGGGTGAATGTATTGAGTACATTTTAGAGTAGTTAAACAAAGATTAAATGTTATGCATGTTCAATTTCTCTCGCACCGTATGTAACCAACCGTGCTAATCGGTAATGGTATTTGGAAGGGAATTAATGTACTAAGGGGAGTTGTACAGTGTTTACAAATATAGTGCATTTAGTGTGATTTAAAGGGAAATGTTAATAAAGGTGAATGTTATATTTGTGTGTTATAATTTAACATTCTCGTGAAAGGGAGTGGATACATGTGTAGTGACTGGGTGCCATCTGTTGACCACGAAGGATAACTATGGGTATGGGTGCACTATATAACCCAAGGGTCAGAGGCGGGGATCAGCCGGGAAGCTCCAGGAACCTGCATGAGAATTCTAGAAGGGGGTGTGGCCAGAGGCGGGGCTTGGCCACGCTGAGGAGTATATAAGAGGGAGGTAACCGGAGGTGCGGGGCTAACGTGGGGGTTCGGGTCCTGGCTCCCGTCGCTGTCTTCGCCGCCATCTCTTCATCGTTGTTCAGCCGTATAGCCGGACAATGATGAAGATAGCTGTATGGTCCCCATCGTCGTCGTCGCTTTATAGTCAGCCAGCTATATAGTGAGACGCCGGCAATGTGGCTGTACGAGTGGATCAGCTCTACCTAGCCCAGTGTATATGTTACTCAGTGACTCTGCCTGTAAAGTGTGAGAATTAAACAAGGAGCCCTCTACAAGTCATGTCTCGGAAGTCACTCAGTACACATGTAAACCTACTTATCAGTAAAATAATGTAAATGGGTTCATTGTAAAATGTTGATCCAGGTATGTGAGTAAGAGTACACTGCGTGCAAAGTTGCCAGGTAGATCAATGGAGACTTGATGCAGCCCTGCTCATTGTGATACATCTTGTTACGTTTTACAGATATTCAAAACAAATGTTGCCGTCTATCTGGAGTCCCTCATTTCAAACATAGAGGTTATGTACTCTTTGGTTTTATTCGGTAAAGTCACATAGATAAAATAAAACAAAATAAAAGAAAGAAAATAATTAAATCACGACGTTTCGGAGGCAACACAAGCTTCCGTCTTCAGGTGGAATAGTCACAGCAAAAGATCTGTGTAGAGTACACAGCTCTGAGATGATCGGGTTTATATGTAGGTTAGGGGGGGGGGAGGAGACAGGAAGGGGGCGTGGGTGGCTGGGAGGGCTGAGTCAAGAGTGGAAGGCTGTGGTGGACTACCAATAACTGCGGAGGTTAAGGGGGGGGGGGGAGGAGTCAGAAAGGGGGTGGGTGGGTGGGTGGGAGGGCTGAGACAAAAGTGGAAGGCAGTGGTGGACTGCCAACACATGTGGAGGATAAGGGGGGGGGGGAAGTCAGAAAGGGGGGTGGGTGGGTGGGTGGGAGGGCTGAGACAAAAGTGTAAGGCAGTGGTGGACTGCCAACACATGCGGAGGTTAAGGGTGGGGAGGGAGGAGTCAGAAAGGGAGCGTGGTTGGGTATGAGGGCTGAGTCAAGTCGCCTTATTGTTAAGCAGCCGGGGGTTCGAGTGGAAGGCTGTGGTAGACTGCCACCACATGCGGAGGAAACATCTAAAGTTTGGTATACCACCACTGAGAATTGCTGTACAATTAAAAGGCAGCTAACGTTTGACTTGATTTAAAACATCTTTCCAATGGTTGCTCAATTTGAAAACATCCTCTCGGTTGAAGTTGTGTCTGTGTTTGTCTATCTGGATGGCCTCGTGGACAAATCTCTGATAATAACTGGTAGGTTTGGAGAGTACCTTGGTATCGGAGAAAACAATATCATGATCACCCACAGCGTTGTAACAGTGATCAGCCACGGCAGAATAATTCGTTCTGCCGTGTTTCAAATCTAATTTGTGCTCGCGAATTCGGTCAGAGATATGTCGCTTCGTCTCCCAGATATAGCAGTCACCGCAGGTTCAACAGCACCGGCGTTGGTTAAGCACTGCCTCACCAGCACCTACTTTATTTGGAATGGCACCTTCTACAAACAAAAGGAGGGTACCCCTATGGGTCCCCCCTTATCAGCAGTGATAGCCAATGTTTTCATGGAGAAATTTGAATCAGATGCCATCCAGACATCCACCCTCAGCCCTTCCCTGTGGAAGAGATATGTGGATGACATGTTCGTCATTTGGCCACATGGCCTCCCAGCTTTGAACCTTTTCCTAGACCACATAAATTCCAGACACCCTTCCATCAAATTCACCATGGAAGTGGAGAAGGATGGCAAGCTACCATTCTTGGATGTCCTGTTTGAGAGAAGGCCTGATGGCTCTTTAGGACATTCTGTTTACAGGAAGCCCACCCAGACAGACTCCTACTTGAAACCTGATTCCCACCACCACCCGACTCAGAAGAATTATCTCATCAAAACGCTATACCATAGGGTTCATTGCATCTCTGACAAACACCACCTGTCCAGTGAATTAAAACATATACATCTGGCCCTCAAGATGAATGGTTACTCTGACCGCACCATCCGCCAAGCTGTTTCTCCCACCATACAGAAACAACCACTTGAAACTCTGATCAAAATCATCACGTTACCATACATAGCAGGCGTTACTAAAAAGATTTCCAAAATCCTAAACAAACACAAGATCCAGGTCCGGTTCAACACAGTACACAAATTCCATGATCTGATCCCATCCGTAAAGGATGTTGTTCCTGACTTACAGTACCCCGGTGTTTACAAATTGAGTTGTACCTGCAGTGACTGCTATATCCGGGAGACGAAGCAACATATCTCTGACCGAATTCGCGAGCACAAATCAGATTTGAAACACGGCAGAACGAATTCTTCTGCCGTGGCTGATCACTGTTACAACGCTGTGGGTGATCATGATATTGTTTTCTCCGATACCAAGGTACTCTCCAAAACCTACCGATTATTATCAGAGATTTGTCCACGAGGCCATCCAGATATACAAACACAGACACAACTTCAACTGAGAGGATGGTTTCAAATTGAGCAACCAATGGAAAGATGTTTTAAATCAAGTCAAACGTTAGCTGCCTTTTAATTGTACAGCAATTCTCAGTGGTGGTATACCAAACTTTAGATGTTTCCTCCACATGTAGTGGCAGTCCACCACAGCCTTCCACTCGAACCCCCGGCTGCTTAACAATAAGGCGACTTGACTCAGTCCTCACACCCACCCACGCCCCCTTTTTGACTCCTCCCTCCCCCCCCCTTAACCTCCGCATGTGTTGGCAGTCCACCACTGCCTTCCACTTTTGACTCAGCCCTCACACCCACCCACCCCCCTTTCTGACTCCTCCCCCCCCTTAACCTCCACAGTTGTTGGTAGTCCACCACAGCCTTCCACTTTTGACTCAGCCCTCACACCCACTCACGCCCCCTTTCTGACTCCTCCCTCCCCCTCCCTTAACCTCCGCATGTGTTGGCAGTCCACCACAACCTTACACTCTTGACTCAGCCCTCCCACCCACCCACGCCCCCTTTCTGTCTCCTCCCCCCCCCCTCTAACCTACATACAAACCCAATCGTCTCAGAGCTGTGTACTCTACACAGATCTTTTGCTGTGACTATTCCACCTGAAGATGGAAGCTTGTGTTGCTTCTGAAACGTCGTGATTTAATTATTTTCTTTCTTTTATTTGGTTTTATTTTATCTACGTGACTTTACCGAATAAAACCAAAGAGTATGAATCCTTGCAGTCACGAAAGCTTCAAATCTAGAATAGAAGTTATGCTCTATTTTCACATGTGTGTATATCACAACCGGTTCACAAATCTGTACCTGGAAATCAATAAGAGGCATCTATCCAAATGTGGGGTTGCATGATGCATCTATGATGTGAAGAATTTGGTGTGAAAGAAACTAGTATAGCCTATGCCTTGGTCTCGCCTCTGCTGTCTCGTGTGAGTTTTCCTCTTTTTGCTCTGTACATTCTCCCCGCTCCTGCACCGCTGCTGTCTCTAATGCTACCCATGCAACTTGCTCCTCACGCCGTGCCTCGCCCTTGCTCGCTAACTGGGGTGCCCCAGTAGTGAGATGTTAACTTCCTCACCTGGTATACAGGTCGTGGGTTCGATCTCGATCCCGACCCTGATGCCTGTTGTATATTTGGAGTTACATGCGTTTAGACTATTTGGCTGCTATAAATTTCCAAATGATAAGCCACTTCGTTTAGCTATCAGTTTTGGCCAGGTTGCTTCTGAAAAAGAGCTATATAGCTCAGTGGGCCTTACCTGGTAAAAAAATAGTTACTATTTTTAGTTTAACTCTACTACCAGCTCAACTCCCCAATGGCCCAAGTGCCTCTCCTGTTTATCTCCCTCCCTGAGCCATTCTTTCACTCGCCTCGACCACATCCCTAATGGCTCGATTGTTCACGCTATTGCGCTATTGCATTAGTGACTCTCTTTAATGGGCTCGTCTTTCCAATTGAATGACCTGATAATTTCCACCCTCCCCCACTCCTGACTCTACTATGACCCCCCCCCCCCCATCTCTGCCTTCCTGCTCTCATGTCAATTCCTCCAGAAGGAAGCCACAAGTAATGTGGACACTAAGCCATATGTAGGTTTTCTATATATTGTATAGATATGCAACTTCAGCATTACAATGGACAATGGAGAAGGTGGTAGAAGTGGAAATTATAAATACCCGTTTCTTGTACTCTAATGCTAGTGCCTTGCACCCAATAATCCTACTCCAAGTCAGCCTAGTAGCATTCTGGAAAATATCTAGTGTGAAATTAATATCTGCTCATATTACATCCATTAAGTTATAATATCTATCTTTATTTTGCCTGTGAATAAACTGGGCGAAAACCACAAAACAACGACATGACCTGAAGAAAGTGAAAATAGCAGGCATCGATGTCAATGTCGTAAATAACATTCCTCTACCTCGGCTGAAACCTGCAGCGTACTGGAAGCAGTGAGGCAGAAATGAAAAGATGAATCTGAATTGTGCACGAATGAATGGAACAACTCGACAGATACATCTGGCGCATCAGCATTACAATGGCAACAAAGATCTACCTCTACAACCAGGGGCGGAGTCAGGGGGGGTGACAGGGGTGACATTCTGCGTATAAGTGTACGACACTCGGTCTGGCGGACTCCGGGCAACTGCATTGTCAGAGTGTGTCGCCAACCGATGGCGTCTAGTTCAAGAACCTGACTCTCTAATCATTCTTGAAATTAAAATTTGTTGAATGTCACCCCGGCCTGAAATCCTGGCTCTGCCCCTGTCTACAACGCATACATCCTCCCTGTACGCTACTGTATGGCTCAGATACGTGGTCAATTACAGGCTCTCTGTGCAGAAAACAACGCATTTGACCAGTGGTGTCCATGACAGATATTCTGCATCCACTTCAGCAAGCACATCACCATGCCGAGGTCAGTCATTGAACAGAATTTCCGGCAGAGACTACAATTGTCAGGGTAAGTAGACTTCACCTCTTTGGACACATCAGCCGATCACACCACCATCAACAGCCCACCGCGGCACTAGAGCCGACCTCGGGCCAGACACATTTTGATGTGGACGTGCGCCACTGAGGTTTATGTGAAACACCCACGGTCTTGGCACTGCTGTGCATGTGCTCAGGATAGAGTCGCCTGGCGGCATCTTGTGGTGACCGCTTAACTCTGGCCAGGGGCAAGCAACTGATGATGATGGTTAATGACATGGGCTATTTCCTTTTATTAGCTTTATTGGCCCTGCAGTGTTAATGGGGAACCTGGCAAATGTTTATCTTCAGTTTGTGCACCACTGCAATTGCTCTGCCCAGGTGTGACTTAGACAGGCGATTGATACAGTTGAAGGAAGTGCAACGCAATTGTACACGAGAGTCGCATGGAGAAACTCACCGGGTCAATGGGCATGCTCCTCTTTATGTTCTTCTTCATGAACCCCTGGCTCTGCCTGGATGTCACGTTCACTGCGGCGTACTCCAGCAGCGAGGCGAAGACGAACAGCAAGCACGTTGCCATCCAAATATCCACCGCTTTGATGTAGGAGACCTGCAGCAGCAGTGGCACAAAAGTAATGAGTGCACATGTTCTTATCATTAAGAGATAAAACACGGATACACCTTACCATTATGACATAAAATTGTACCAGTTATACATGTGTGATGAGCGACTTCCGTGACACGCTGTGTCGAGGGTACTTATTCTTTATTACTCACACTGGTCACAACACAGGCCAACACTTATTCTTCCTCACACTGAGTACAACACTAGATATGAACGTCTCTACTGGCTACACACAGGCGATCACTCGGCGTGGTCCCATCGCCCTCACTCGGCTACACCGTTGGCTGGCGGCGTGCCGATGACGGCGATGGCAACCACGCAGGAGATCTTCCATGTGGCCGGACGACGGAGAGAGATGTCGGCAAGCAGCGACGCAGCCAGGACCCAAGACCCCACACGCGAGCCCCGAGCCCCGGGTCCACTCCCCCTTATATCCCCCAGGCATGGCTAAGTCCCGTCTCTGGCCACGCCCTCTCGTGGAACCTTCGAGCCGGTTCTCGGAGTATCTCGGCTAGCCCCACCTTATACCTCTTCTGATTAGTTGTTACTTAACCGTGCCCATACTTGGGATTCCCCTTCCAGGCCAGCAGGTGTCACCCTGTCATTACACATGTATGTTGAACTTCTTTCGCACTGTATGTAGTCAACCATGCTAATTGGAGGTGCGGGGGAAGGACAAAAAACTAAACACAAATTAGTTATTAAGAAATGTGCTTTCAATATAGATATTTAAAAGTGCTTAGCTCTAGTGACTTCCTAATATCGGAAGGAAGAGCATTCCAGACGGCTATAGAAGCGCATCTGAAAGCGCGCGATGCGGTAACCATCTTTGTTCGATGGCCAGCCAAAAGCCGCCGCTGCGAGGATGACGCTTGATGGTCAAAGTTAGATCCGTGGGACCGTCGCTGTTGTGGGGTGTGGTGAGGTTTGTGCCACAGTGAGGATCTCTCTGGTGACCTTAGGCAGTGACGCTCTTGCCCCCGTGCTCTGTGTGGTCATGGTGAGGACCGTGGTGATCCCCAGCGCCACACGGGCTGGGGCTGCCTCCATGTTTATCCAGAAGGAGACCCAGGAAATTATGACGATGAGCGCACTGGGCACATAGAGCTGGATCAGGTAGAATCCCATCTCACGATGCAAAACGAATCTTGCTGAAATGCATGAAAAGTGACCTGTCGCAAAGGAGAGAGATTAGTGAGCGCAGTATGTGTTTAACGGCTGTGGCATAGCATATTTAAACTACACCAATAGCGAATTTATACATGACTTGAATCATCCTAGAGAAATATAACTAAACACGGTTTGTATCAACGATCAGCATCATCTTTGGATGCTGGATGAAGGCCTCCACAAGCTGTTGCCAATCCTCATGGCCTCACGATGCATCCAAATTCTGAACACACAAGCTAATTTCATCACTCGATTACAGCGGTGGACACATTTCCCTCCCTTCTTTGGTTGGCTACCACGCTGTCGACTGCCCATCATCCCTTATCAGTGACGTGTCCTGCCCAGTCCCACTTTTATTGACAGCCAATGTTCTGTTATAATTTAGAAGGAAGGGGGGAGGCAGGCAGCGGGGGGCTTTCACCGAATTTGAGACACATTTACGAGTACCCGTAAAGTACAGTGTAAAGTTACACCCGTGGGAATGCTGCACCACACACGGGTGGAGACAAATTGCCTGTACCACTGCTGTACAGCTTGTCGCAGGAGTCGGTGTCGATCTTGCTACTCAGCACAAACTGTGGTAGGACAAGTTCCTTGGAGATGATAACGGGCTCCTCTTCATCCCAGTGGAAACTCAGGTCCGCCATGGTGTAACCAACTGTGCACACAATGGAGAGAGAAAACATTTCTGATAGCGCAAACCCAAATTGATGTGCTGTATGTTGAACTTATTTCGCACGGTACGTAGCCAACCGTGCTAATCGGGGAAGGATAACAACAAAGTTCTAAGGGTTGAACATTCTAACGTAAATGCACAGATGACCGATCAAAAGCAACAACTGATTCTCCAAACAATCATCTCAATCCTAAAGCTTTCTTACTAAATTCTTACTAAATTACAGTGTATAACGAATCACGTGTTTCCATTTGTTAAGGAACAAGCTATTGAATAATGCCCGAATACGCAATGGAGTAATTTTTTGGTGCTTTAGAGATGTGTTGATGGTAAGCTAATGTTACGTACAGCTCTCCAGGAACATGTAGCACATCTGTGTGTCCATGGGGAAGTTGCGCAGATCCATGGGACAGGAAAGTGTCAATGTCAGCCTGCACGAACAAAACATGCATCATTAAAGGGCAGCATTTATCAATGCACCAATTTACAACCTAGAACAATAGATGTGTATACACAAATAAAGACAAAGATCCCCGTATAGCCTTAACAGACTGCTGGGGCAAGTGCTGTTAGCGAGCATCTATGAAGGCTGGAATGATACACTATGGGGTGGGTGGCCATCACCACACGCGGCCGCCTTTATCTCCCCAGTGACGATGTTTACACGCCGTACAGGTACTAATATGAGTCGACCTAGGGGAGGCCCAAGACCGGTTCAGATAGTCTTCACTGGTAAATTGAATTTTGGTCGCAGGGTTCTTAGAGAAGCGCGCGAACCACTACACTACCGCTCCCTACACATGTGCATACCTTCATGTGTGATACCCATACATAAAACACACACACATTACATAATGTGTATTGGCCTGAAATTGACCTGGCCCAGGAATGAGGAGAGTGGGGAGGCACAAGTGGGGTGTTTTAAGAAAGATCTGGAAAGGAGGTATAACTAACAGAGGGGTGAGGAGACAGGGAAAAGAATAGAATGTGCAAAATGGAAAGTGGGGTTCAGGAAAAGGGATACAATGAGATGGTGGAGGCTCAGGATGGGAGGCTATAGAATAGAGGTCTGGGCGTGGATGGAGGGCTTTCCCGTGAAGCTATAGTCAGTCCAAGCCCAATCGTGGTGATTTTGACATGTTGCTGTATGGCCCTAAATTGTACGAAAGGCTTGAACGCATTGCCTTCAACGCAGGTTATGTTGATAAAGTTACGTCCAGTCGGGCCTTAGGCGAGAGAGAACTTTTGGAGGTGGCTCCTTGATTGAGTAGAGTTACACAAGTGGACACATTACTTGAAAAAAACGTATTGAGCCTCAATTATGCTTTGTTTACATTTAAATTACAAAGGATTATTACACATACGTTAATTCGAACGTTGCTCAAGTTTATAACTGCTTAGGCTGAATAGCCATGCTTGACTCTCATTTCCATATGTCCTTTCCACTCAGGTCAAGCTGACCTTATGCACATTATCCATTCTGAGGTTTGTAATGAATGTTGATTGATCAGCTGTAACCAACCTCACAGTAAAAAGCACCAAGCCATTTTTGAATATCCTCAACATCTTGTTGTCAGTTGTGACCTCGTGAAAATAGGCACTCTTCTCATTGTCAAAGAAGAGATCAGGCCTCCAGATGTACTGAATGTTGGACTGGTCGAGGTCCAAGTAGGGCTCAGGGTAGTGGCTGTAAGTCAGCCGAGGGTCGATCCACTTCTGCCGCAGGAAGATTGTCACCTGGTAGTCCTGGTGGAAAAGGCATCTAATTGTCATTCATCGTCAAATCCAAACTGCGATGTTTTATTAATGATTCATAATAGATGTTTGGGTTAGGCTACGTAATTATCTGTCCAAATTTGCGCCATTAAGGCCCTTCACCACCCGACGCAGCAAAACAAATTAAATTGTCGCGTTTATAAGCGTTAATGTGCCAATTATTATTGTTTCAGCTCATAGGTAAGTTGAAGAACAATTCTCAAAAATGTAGTAAATAGATACGATGCTTTTTTGAGATTACGTTAATCCAGGAAGTCAGAATGAATGGATGTTGATGATGACTTCCTCGATCTTGTGCTGTTAATACGTGACGTAGTCTCAAGTAAAATGTCGTATCTAATTGCAGAATTTTAGTTGTAAGAATTGTTCTGTAACTTATCATTGAGCTGCAACAATTATAATTAATGTGTTCATGCTTGTAGATTCCATTTCATTTGGTGGCAGAGGATCTTAACACAAATTTGGTCAGATCATTACGTAACCTAACCCAAAAATCAATTATGAATCATAACATTGGCTGCAAAAAGCCACACTTTAATTTAGTTTTTGAATGTATTATCACATTTCGCTATGTACGGTGCGAAAGAAGTTCAACATACACACAATATAAATTTCCAATCGGTGCATAAACATAGCCTGATTAACTTCCAGTGGCAGTCATCACGTTCTCTTGATGAGAACTCATCCAACCGCGTCAGATGAGTTGAATGCTAAATCATGCTCATACTCTGTGGGGGCATGAGGCACATGCACACCTAGACCCTAACTTCACGACTGCCTCCAGTGTTTGGGGGCCCTTTAAGTGTGTTCGTTTTAACCAGGTGAGAACGCAGGAAACCAGGATACTGTAGTCTCATTTGTACGATAAAGTGATCTGTTGCCCAGAAACATTGACAGTGTTGTATTTATATCGCTGGCAGGCCCCGTCGTTTTGAACCCACAACTGTGACCAGTCCAAACGCACACCTAACATCCGTTGCAGTGACCTGGGCAGCCTGCGGAAGAAGCCGCCGCTCGGCCAGGCTCACGGGCCCAGGCGCCCTCGCGTGTGCGCGCTAGCTCCCGCTTGGGTTGCGCAGCGAGCGACGCGTTCCCTGTGAGCTGCTGCCGGCGAAAGAATGCGTAGAGCCCAGGGGCCTGAGTACAGAAAAAAACTGCGTAAATTTCTACCAGGCAGTGATTTGCCTACGCTCAGAAATCGCATAGTGCAAAATGCGGAGTATATGTATATTAAACTTCTTTCGCACGGTGCATTGCCAACTGTACGTAGCCAACCATGCTAATATATGCCATGTCGCAGCCGTTTTGCAATTATGGACATGCCATCAGTGGTTGCTAGAGGTTATGTCATCACTCTCGCTACACCAGCCAATCAGTTGCCAGGAAAACAATCCTGATGCAAATAGCTACTATGGTTGCATCAAGCCCCTGTACGACATGAACGCCTTGATGTGGCTGAGGCAAGTTGTACTTTACAGCACGTCTTATTTGAAGTAATATAAATGAGATGTTATATATGCGAGTGTGTTAGAGTGCATGCATGTAAATGTTCGAGTGCGTTTTGTGTGTGTGTGTGTATCGTATTCTGTCGTCCATAATAGGTACTCATTGACAATGTTAAAAGATTATATGGGGGATATTTTTCGATTTGTGACAGTGCATATCTGTGTGTAATTGTGCACGCGTGTGTACTTATGACAGTGTAGTGTCTATAATGACGAATAAACTTCTTATGAGGCACACTCTGTTTATTGTAATTCTTCTCTTACACAGTCCCTAACACACAAAGGGGTATACGGTCCCCTCACCCGATACCCTAAGGAGGTACAGCCTCTGGACTTAGCGGGACCTACACACAGGTCTCTTGCTAACCTAAGGAGGTACAGCCTCCTGTCTTGGCGGGACTTACTCTCGAGTCTACCGCTATCCTAGAGTCCTCCGGCTTGGACCTAGGGGAGGCTATCTGACCCACCGCTGGCCAGGTGGGTCCTGACCACTGGATATGCCGAGCCTTAGCCCTCAGAAGAGCTGGAAGGCTGGGTCCAGGGTCCTGTCTATCTTCAGCCCGGGCTTCGGTCTTTATGTAGGGAGAGAACTCCCCACGCTCTGCGCGCTCACCCTTCTTATACTCGTTTGTGGCCAGGTCTAACCAATCCCACATTCACATGTGGAACTGTCTGATTGGTTCTTACCAAACGGTGGCTACGATCCACTTCACCTCGTCTGGCCCCAACCGTTATTCACACAGAGGTAACGCTGCACTGCCCCTTTGATACCTAGTGGCAATGTAGGTTACCGAACAGTGAGTAGTTAGCACTACTCACTGTTCGGTAATAGCATCTGTGTGGACATAATGGCACACAAAGCTGTACTGACTGCCCGTGAGTTCCCGTGAAAGTGTACGCTACTCGCTTGCATACATCCCATAGAGGATTGAAAGTGGGACAATTGCCTGTGCATTTCATAGAATTGGGCGTACCATTCGTTACTGAGGCCCCAGGGCTCAGCTGTATGCATCGCATGGGAACATGAATGAGACACGCATGGCAAGAGGGAGAGGAGTGTGTGGCTCAAGCGGTGGGTGACTCAAAGCGGTCGGATGGCGGAGGTCAATATTACAATTTTTGCACTATTTAATTTTTTTACCAGCTAAGGCCCACTGAGCTATGGAGCTCCTTTTCACAAGCGACCTGGCCACAAATGATGGCTCAACGAAGTGGCTTATCATGTGGACATTTATTGCAGTCAAATACTCTAAATGCATGTTTCTAAATGTGGGTGGATAAAATATTAGGCACGTCACGTAACTGGGAATACAGTAGTCCCTCAGTTAACGTTTTTTCGGTTGACTTTTCACCTCCCATAGGACCCCATGGTTTCGACTAACGTGAAATTTTGACTAACGGTATGTTTAAGTTTTGCACGCGGGCGCCAAATTTCGGACAATCCGAGCGCTCGTAAGTGGGCTGAGCCATGCCCTCAGCCAATTTGCAATGCCCATTTATGAGTATTTAGACCTCAACTGGCTTTGTTCTCATTACGTTTTCTGTTTTGGCAGCAGAAACAGCGCTCTTGCGTCTATATTGATTGATTCACAATTGGCTTCTCTTTTGAGTTGGATTGTTATGTTTTTTTTTAACTATAACCTCCGCCACCCAACAAAGCAAAACAAATCAAGTTATCCAGCGGGCAAATGTGCCAATTGACTTGTTTTTTTGTCAGCAAACCAGCATATTGAATACAAATAAATATGCATCTTAAAATTGGTCATGAAAGCCTATTTATCAAATTAACTTCTACATTAACAATTGGAACTTGGTCAAATTAATGTATTTGATTAATAATGGCACTCAAATCATGTGAACGTGTCAATACCATGGTGGTTTCTTCAATCGATCCAAAGCTCTTGATGTAAACGCTGCAATTGACGTTTACTGTAGGTCCTGGAAATAAAAAAAAACAATTACTGTCATTGGTCAACTTTCCTCCACGAAACCCAGCATTGCATTTTGATGCAATTGAAATCAGCGTACCCAATTCAAACGATGACATATATACGTAATATTAGTTTTGTAATACGTTAAATAAATGACCTATTTCATATCTCCACATGAATGCATTTTTGACTTCTTGGGCTGTACTGTTTCGGTTATAATTATGCGTTGTCTTGTGTATGTCTGTTTGGTTTGTCTTGGTCTGTTTCGTTTGTTGAAATCATGAGCCTAAAACAATCCTCTATTATGGATTTGCATATAATTTGCAAATCATAAATTCTCACACGTGATTTGATGCACGTGAATCTAAACATTAATTTGTAACTATGAATCCGACGCACCATTCGGTGTGGTGCCCTGCCCATGCCGTCCATGCATACCATGGCCCCAATGTCCAGAACTACAGGTGGATGAGCCATCGCCTCCCAGATGTAGATTCCTTTGATGAAGTGTCCCAATGGCAAGAAGACATCATCTTCTGGAAGAGGTCATGAGGTGTCTGCTATGTTAGGAGAGGGGGACGCCATCGTAGTAGTAGGAGAGGCCATACGGAGCGAGAGGAGGAGGCTGGTGTGTTCGGAAAGGGCGCTATATAAATCCGAAATAAAATAGAATAGATTAATGCCTGGAACGAACTTGGACACTTGTTGGGAGAAGCCAGGAGACCTGCCTGGAGAAACTATGACAACGTTTTAGCTGTGGGTGTCTTAATTAAAAGGAGACATGATGGTTCAATGAGCCATTCTGTCTACAGAAAAGCTACCCATACAAATGCTTACTTGAAACCGGATTCCCACCACCATCCATCCCAGAATAACTCTCTCATCAAGACTCTATACCACAGAGCCCAATGCATTTCCGACCAGGAACACATTGTCAGTGAACTCAAGCACGTACACCAGGCTCTCAGGGCTAATGGTTACTCCGACTACACAATCCGCAAAGCCATCACTCCAGTCATGAAGAAGGATCCTCTTGAGGAGCCACTCAAAACCATCACCTTACCCTACATTGCAGGGGTCACTAAAAAGATCTCCAAAATCCTGAATAAACACAAGATCCAGGTCCGATTCAACAGTACATAAAATCCGTGATCTGGTTCCATCTGTTAAAGATGCTGTTCCAGACATACAGTACCCAGGCGTTTACAAACTAAAGTGCCTCTGTGGTAGCAACTACATTGGGGAAACCAAACGACAAATCTCGGACCGCATCCGCGAACATAAAGCAGACTTGAAACACGGTAGGACGAATTTTTCTGCCGTGGCAGATCACTGTTATAAATCAGTGGATTCACATAACATTGACTTTTCCAAGACGGAGGTTCTTTGCAAGCCAACTGGCTACCATGAGAGATTCGTTAATGAGACCATCCACATATACAAGCACAGAGACAATTTCAACCGAGAAGATGGATTCTGGCTTAGTAACCATTGGAAAGATGTTTCAAACCATTTCGGTTCTTAATTAATTGTATTTTACGGTGACCGTCAGACCACAGCTATTTCGCTGGCATTGCCTCTTAATACCTCTCACACCACGGTTAATGGTATGGTTTATAACATTGAGTATAACAGCGCATTGTAGTTGTTTCCCTCTCCCCTCTCCTCCGTTCCGAGCATGGATTGATTCGTCAGCCTGAACGTCGCTGTCCGTGGTGCTGGCGTTGAGGGGAAGGGAAAAACCACCATATTTTGCCATGTGGCATTGATATATAACGACTTATTGTTGGTGGCTCAGCTGATTGGAGAGTATATAGAGTTTATTGATAACATTGAGGGAGCTTATATTTTGGGGTTTTTTTAATTGGTTTACTATATGGTATTCATTATATCGTGTAGTGTATACCCAGTTGCTTTGTGATTAATAGCTCAGCTTATTGAAGAATATATTAAGTACATTTATTATATTGATGTAATATAGATTTAGTTTTTCACATCGGTTTACTTTATGATAGTTCGTAGTTGGAGGCCTTTAGCGTCCATATACTAAATGCCTCTGTTGATATGTAAACTTTGACTTTATCAGAGCTATTTTTGTCACAAGCTAATCCCTCAGCTATTTCAATGCTAAATTCTCCTGCTTTGATAGGTAAACTCCTTTGTCAAGGCTCTCCACGCCTCTCACCGAGCTTAAAAGACGCTACGAATCTTAACAGCGTTCATTCAAGCTCTGTCGTCCCGACAGTTCTGTTCTTTCACCTGAAGAAGGCTACTTGTGTTGTGGCCGAAACGTCGTGAGAATATTAGTCTCATTTTATTTTATTATTTTACGTAATATTAGTTTTGTAATACGTTAAATAAATGACCTATTTCATATCTCCACATGAATGCATTTTTGACTTCTTGGGCTGTACTGTTTTGGTTATAATTATGCGTTGTCTTGTGTATGTCTGTTTGGTTTGTCTTGGTCTGTTTCGTTTGTTGAAATCATGAGCCTAAAACAATCCTCTATTATGGATTTGCATATAATTTGCAAATCATAAATTCTCACACGTGATTTGATGCACGTGAATCTAAACATTAATTTGTAACTATGAATCCGACGCACCATTCAGTGTGGTGCCCTGCCCATGCAGTCCATGCATACCATGGCCCCAATGTCCAGAACTACAGGTGGATGAGCCATCGCCTCCCAGATGTAGATTCCTTTTATGAAGTCTCCCAATGGCAAGAAGACATCATCTTCTGGAAGAGGCCATGAGGTGTCTGCAATGTTAGGAGAGGGGGACGCCATCGTAGTAGTAGGAGAGGCCATACGGAGCGAGAGGAGGAGGCTGGTGTGTTCGGAAAGGGCGCTATATAAATCCGAAGTAAAATAGAATAGATTAATACCTGGGAACGAACCTGGACACTTGTTGGGAGAAGCCAGGATACCTGCCTGGAGAAACTATGACAACGTTTTAGCTGTGGGTAAACCTTTAGAGACTGCTGCTGACTTGGACTGCTAAAGACTGCACATTCTTTGTGCCTTGTGGTCAGAACTGGCTGTTGGGCCTCTATCCAGATTCGCCTTGGCTACAGATGAGTGCTCACACTTCTTTCAACCACCGAGTGCTACCATGTCTTCAAATACAGTGAGCACCATCCTGTGTTTATTGCAGTGCCGTAGCCCAGAGTTTGAGAGGAAAATAAAGTGTTATAGATTAGTGATCACATCGATGGTGATACGGTGCTTAGCCTCACGTGTATTTAGTGATACAGTGTTTAGTCTAGCATTTACTTAGTAATAGTGTCTATCTTCGCGTTTACTTGGTGATACGTCTAGCCTAGCGTTTGCTTCGTGATGCAGTGTTTAGTATTTATCAGCACAGTCCCAGTGACTGAAGTCACTGAGAAAATAGCTCTCAGTACAGTGTAACAGTGTCAGTGCCTATAAATGCCTAAGAATAGATCTCAGTATAGTGCACCAGTGACTGAAGATTCCTGGGAATATGTCAGTACAGTGTAACAGTGTCAGTGACTATAAATGCCTGAGAATAGATCTGAGTTCAGTGTCACAGAGTTGCAGTGCCAGAAACAGAAGACACCTGAGAGCCTATCATGAGTACCACTCAGTTTTTGCAACCTTGCCACCTCTGCAACTCTACTGGGTTCGTGTTCAAGCCAACATCTACACGCACAACCCTACTCTGTTCATGCCGAAGGCCTTTTGAGCTCTGTGAGCTTGTGACCTCTGCGCCTTGCTTGGCTGGGAGCTGTGCAGCCCAACTTTACCTGCGTGTTGCGGCCTGTGAGCTTGGAACCTCGGCGGCCCCGTTTCGTGAGCTTAGGTGTACGCCCCTGCTTGCCTGGCTAAAGCACTTGAGTCTGGACTTTCATCGCTAGCCATTAGGACTTTGCTAGTCTTATTATATCCACAATAGATGATGCTGATTGTAATTACCGGCGAAACGTCACGGTACTCGAATTGTGAATATTGTTGTGGGTTTACTCTCCAACACACCAGTGTGCTGAACTAATAATGAATTGGCATGTTTTGTTTATGTGGCAAACCTTACTAATTGGCTGTGTCGGGTGGTTGCGGGTTTAACGACACATTTACACGTTCTAACCAAAACCACCTCTATTATGGATAATTTTGGTCGAAAAAGTCTAAGTGTTAAACTGAATCTAGTGATAACTTTACGAGTGCTTTCTGCTGCTGTTAACGTTGGTCTTGTTTATATAACTTGCACCATTTATTGTCGTTAAAACCCCTGAAAATCCTTGCATATATCCGTATGGAATTAATTGCAAACACCATTGACTTTTGTTCTGTTTGCCTTGAGCCTGTCCCTGGAATTGTTATATTGATAGGTCCATGGTTCGAGACAAATGCTACTGAGATTCCGTCTGTGTAACTTGTACCAGTCGTTTATTTTACATTGGACCATAACTAAATCTGGAGGTGAGGTTGACAATAAATGTTGGAGGAAACGAATTTGTGACTGGATTCCATCTCACGTTCGTAGGCGGCTGTTTGGGTTTGTCGACACTCGTGCATTCTTTGCACGTTATAGACCTATCAGGAATGCGTCCTCGTGCAGAAGGTTCTGCCAAATTTATAAGATCAAACACTGGGTGAAGTTCATCTGATGATATGTTGGATTACGCTATGTATAAAAGCAGAAGTGGTACAAAACTTTCAGTAATTACCTTCTTCCAAATTGTCAATCTGGCTCAATTTGTGCTGTTTGGTAACTGGCATTTGAATAATAAAACTAGACGTTTTATTCAGTATAAAATAGATACCTCCAAAGTTGGGCCGGATCCTGTGATCATAACCAGATGTTGGGCCCAGCAGCTTGTCCAGGAACTCGGTAGGGGCGATGGTTGGGCCACTTGTTGGATCTACAGGAAATTCCAAACTGGATAAACAAACACGCATACATTTCAGAATACTCTATAAAGGGTTTGACGTGAAGATAAATTAGATGCATCTTCTTTGGTTCTTTCGGTAAAGCCACGTAGAATGAGAATAAAATAATAAAATAAAATAGGACGATAAAATTCACACGACGTTTCGGCCACAACACAAGTAGCCTTCTTCAGGTGAAAGAACAGAACTGTCAGGACGACAGTGCTTCAATGAGCGCTGCTAAGATTCGTAGCATCTTTTAAGCTCGGTGAGAGGCGTGGAGCGCCTTGACAAAGGAGTTTACATATCAAAGCAGGAGAATCTAGCATTGGAATAGCTGAGGGATTAGCTTGTGACAGAAATAGCTGTGTTAAAGTCAAAGTTTACATATCAACAGAGGCATTTAGTATGTGGACGCTAAGGGCCTCCAACTACCCAACAGTAAACCGATGTGAAAAACTAAGTCTATATTACATCAATATAATAAATGTACTTAATATATTCTTCAATTAGCTGAGCTATTAATCACAAAGCAACTGGGTATACACTACACTATATAATGAATACCATATAATAAACCAATAAAAAAACTAAAATATAAGCTACCTCAATGGTATCAATAAACTCTATGTACTCTCCAAACAGCTGAGCCACCAACCATAAGTCGTTATATATCACAATGCCATATGGCGAAAAATGGCGTTTCCAATGGCGTCTCCAATCAGCTGAGCCACCAACCATAAGTAGTTATATATCACAATGCCATATGGCGAAAAATGGCTTTTTTTCTTCCCCTCAACGCCAGCACCACGGACAGCGACGTTCAGAAGGACGAGTCAATCCATGCTCGGAACGGAGGAGGGGGGAGAGAGAAACAGCCACAATGTGCTGTTATACTCCATGTTATAAACCATACCATTAACCGTGGTGTGAGAGGCATTAAGAGGCAATGCCAGCGAAAGAGCTGCGGTCTGACGGTCACCGTAAAATACAATTAATTAAGAACCGAAATGGTTTAAAACATCTTTCCAATGGTTACTAAGCCAGAATCCATCTTATCGGTTGAAATTGTCTCTGTGCTTGTATATGTGGATGGCCTCATGAACGAATCTCTCATGGTAGTCGGTTGGCTTGCAAAGAACATCCGTCTCGGAGAAGTCAATGTCATGTGAACCCACTGAATTATAACAGTGATCTGCCACGGCAGAAGAGTTCTTCCTACCGTGTTTCAAATCTGCTTTGTGTTCGCGGATGCGGTCCGAGATATGTCGTTTGGTTTCTCCAATGTAGTTGCTACCACAGAGGCACTTTAGTTTGTAAACGCCTGGGTACTGTATGTCTGGAACAGCATCTTTAACAGATGGAACCAGCCCACGGATTTTACGTACTGTGTTGAATCGGACCTGGATCTTGTGTTTATTCAGGATTTTGGAGATCTTTTTAGTGACCCCTGCAATGTAGGGTAAGGTGATGGTTTTGAGTGGCTCCTCAAGAGGATCCTTCTTCATGACTGGAGTGATGGCTTTGCGGATTGTGTAGTCGGAGTAACCATTAGCCCTGAGAGCCTGGTGTACGTGCTTGAGTTCACTGGCAATGTGTTCCTGGTCGGAAATGCATTGGGCTCTATGTTATAGAGCAGGGGTCGGGAACCTTTTTGACTAAGAGAGCCATGAAAGCAAAAAATTTGGAAATTTATTTCAGTGAGAGCCATATAATATATTTTAAAAGTGAATTCAACTAAATGTCAGTATAATAAGCCTCTGAATTTATTCTTTTAAATAATGTTGTTATAACACTCACCATTAATGCGACTTCTGGTGCTGCATGGATTTGCTGATGTCTTTGTAGTCGGGTTGGTACTTGGTGAGGTTAAGCTTCATGCAAGCGTTGAGGCTTTTATCCGTTAAACGTGATCGTAGGTTGGACTTGATGTTTTTAAGATGTGAGAATGACTGCTCACATGCATACGTAGATCCAAACATGGTCAATACAGCAATACTCACGCTGCAGTGTGTGGTATGTGACAGGAAGCGCGTTCCAAGTTTTGAGAATCAGCTGGTCTTCGGGTTGGAGTTTTTTCATTTCTGTCCACATGTGCTTGCTCGCCAACTCCGCTTTCTGTCGTGTGATTCTTTCCAAATCTTCATTCAGTGACTTGAACTTATTCACCCACATGTCTGAGGCCTTCAGGTCAGCCACTTCTGCTTCAAAATCTCTGACGGAGACACCAGGGATGTAATTCAGGTCGGCTGTGTTCAGTGAACACTCGTTTGGATGGGTGATGAACTTAAAAAGACGAGTGTGCTCACGAAATTCTCCAAAGTGTGCTTTGAAGGACTGTAGGAGACTGGATGTGCAGCCAGCTAGCTGGTGGAGATCAAGGTTTTGAATGGGCTCACTTGCTGTGCATGCATCTTTAAATTGGCTCAGTTTTTCAAAATGTAGTAAACGACCTGTTTCAAGATCCGTGATGAAAAGCTCCAGCTTGTTTTCAAAAGCAAATACAGCTTGTTGAAGGGATAACACTGTATTTCCAATGCCTTGCATTTTCACGTTGAGCTGGTTCAGATGTTCAGTCAGATCTACGAGATAGTAAAACTTGAGGAGCCACTCGGTGTCGGCTAGCTCAGGATGCCCGACGCCTTTCATTTCAAGGAAAGTCCGGATTTCGTTCAGGCAAGCCGCAAAACGGCTAAGCACCTTCCCTCTTGACAACCAACGCACATTGCTGTGCAAAAGCAGACCAGGATAGTTATTTACAACTTCATCCAGCAGTGTTTTAAACTGGCGATCATTTAAGGCTCGGGCAACAATAAAGTTGATCACACGAATGACCAGCGACATCACTTCGCCAAACTGCCTGTCACACATCTGAGCACAAAGTGCCTCCTGGTGTATAATGCAATGGAAACTTAGGATGGGTCTATTTTCATGTTCACGGAGAAGCGCCACAAATCCTTTGTTTTTCCCCACCATACACGGAGCACCATCAGTACACACTGAGAGAAGTTTATCCATAGGTAGACTTTTTTCTTGAGCAAACTCCATGAAAGACTTGAATAAATCCTCACCTCTTGTGGACCCTTTTAATGGCAGAACAGCAAGACTTTCTTCGCGCAGTGTGTCACCAACAGCATATCTTGCAATCACGCTGAACTGCGACAAATGGCTCACGTCTGTTGACTCATCCAAAGCCAGAGAAAAGAACGGCGCTGCATTTATGTCCTTCACTTGCGTTTCCTCCACTTTGTTTGCCATCACGATGGTACGATCATGAACAGTTCTTGCCGACAGAGGCATGTCTTGTATCCGTTTGATTATCTTGTCTTTGTTCGGAAGATCATCAAAAAGTTCATTGGCTACATCCAGCATGAACGTTTTAGCATACTCGCCATCTGTGAATGGTTTTCCGTTCCTCACTATTGCTAAAGAACCAGCAAAGCTAGCCGAATTATAGTCACCTTGCCGGGTCCATACGCGGAGTTGCTGCTGGCTAGCTTGCACCCTGCTCAGAAGCTCTTGGCACGCTTTCTTTCTGCTGTCTCCCGCAGGGTATTTTGATGCAAAGGTAGCGTGGCGCGTGTCGAAGTGCCGCTTTACATTCGACCGTTTCAACGATGTAATTTTGTCATTGCAAATTAGACACACCGCAGAACCCGCTCTCTCCACAAAGGCGAATTCTTCGGTCCATTCGTCCTGAAATGTACGATACTCGTCGTCTTTTTTCTTTTCGCCATCTTCTTCGTCGAAGGGTTAGCTTTGAGCTAATGACCGAGCAGACGCAGTCTCAGACTGATTCAAAAGGGGGCGTTTACCTGTTTTACCCAGCAACGGCAAACGTAGGCCAGTATCATCCAATTAAAATAATGGACAATTGCTCCTGCAGCCCTGAACAGGACATGCGCAGTGAAAAATCGATGGATGGATTAAAACAAGTGAGAATATTTTGTTTTATCTGCGAGCCATATGCAATCATCAAAAGAGCCACATCTGGCTCGCGAGCCATAGGTTCCCGACCCCTGTTATAGAGTCTTGATGAGGGAGTTCTTCTGGGATGGATGGATGGTGGTGGGAGTCCGGTTTCAGGTAAGCATCTGTATGGGTAGCTTTTCTGTAGACAGAGTGGCTCATTGAGCCATCAGGTCTCTTTTTAATTAAGACATCCAAAAAGGGTAGCTTGCCATCTTTTTCGACCTCCATGGTAAATCTGATGGCTGGGTGTATGGAATTGATGTGGTCGAGAAATTGGTCTAGAGCAGGCTGGCCATGTGGCCAGATGACAAAAGTGTCATCCACGTACCTCTTCCATAAGGTCGGGCGTAGAGTGGCAGTCTGGATGGCGTCAGTTTCAAATTTTTTCATGAATACGTTGGCTACAACCGGAGACAGGGGGGAGCCCATTGGGGTGCCCTCAATCTGTTTGTAGAAAGTTCCATTCCAGGTGAAGTATGTGTTGGTTAAGCAATGTCTCACCAGGGGGGGGTACATCAGTATGCAGTCCTTGATGAACCAAGTCTTCAATGATAGCGTTGGTGTCAGGTACCGGAACTTTGGTGAATAAGGACACCACATCAAAACTGACAAGCCGGTCGTCTGGGGACAGGGAAATGCCTTTGATTGTCGATACCAGGTGAGTAGAATTTAGTACCACAGAGGTGGTTTTTCCAGTGAAAGGTCGCAGTATATCAGCCAGAAAACGTGCCAGTTTATAAGCTTTAAATCGAAAAATAAATAAGATAATGTCCAGAATCCTAATATACATTTACAGTATAGTTGTCTTGTACCATTCAGTGACATTTGAGTCAGAAGTGTTTAGCTCTGGAACATCATCCATATTACTGGATTATTCCAAATGTCTTAAGCTTCAGTAGAAAAACACATTCAGTGATGGCTGTGGTCACTCAATGTTGTTTTTTGTAAAAAAAACAATCATGTATATATTTTGCACAGCAAGTGAGCGGTGACGTCACATCTGTGATGTCACCCGCATGTGGAAGCGTCACGCAGTGT